CCCCAAAACCCCAAAACCCCAAAACCCCAAAACCCCACAAATAGAGATTTAGGAAACTTTAGAGAAAATGATTGATAGGTACTTAAAATAATAAAAATTGTGTGGCCACTGTATTTAGTTTCCAGAATTTATTTAAGAGATTCAAAGTCACAGCTTATTTCTATAGCTTTCAATCTTATCGAAAGTCTCAATCCAGCTGAGAATTTGCAGATAAAATACTCTCTTATTAACTATTCTTAGTTTATTCTAAACTTCGTTAGTTCTGAACTTTTCAAATTTCTAATTCAAATGCTCCTAGTCAAGGTCTATTACCTTTAGAATTTAATCAATTTCATCGACAGTAAGCTCAACCTCATTATTCAATCTAACTTAATTCATAAATAATTCCACCAATCGTTATTACCTTTCCTAATTCTAAATGCTCGCATATATTTGAAGAATCTCATCTATGAAAATTTATTAGACTCTCTTTGTATAAACTTAATCCAAGATTCTACTTTTTTCATATTTCTTATCATTATTATTAGAGGGTACTTTCTGAAGTTCTTTTTAAAGTTGATGGTACGGTTTCAAAATATTCTAGATTAAGAATTTGAAATAGATTGGTTCATTATTAATCTGAAAACTAGCCAAATATTTAGTTCGCTTTTCAATGTTGGTCAAAATTTCTACATACTATTTTGGGAGCGTGTAAGGAACAAAACCATCAGTCTCTATATGATACATGAGCAAGGCAAGACTTAGCTTATTTTGGAGCTGTATAGTATCGCCTTCAATTTTTTCTCTGTCAATTTTGTCAATCGTAATATTCCACCTCACTTTCAAAACTTCATTCTTGTCCTACTTCTCATCATCCATCTCGATAAGTATCTAGGGCTGTAAAACCATATTTTAGTTATCTTCATCTTTGAATACAAGAATCTGGTCGGGATTAAAATTGAAACATGCATTCATATGCTAATTGTCGTCAAGAAAATCTATCATTTTTCTCAGAATATTCTTGATCATTTATTCGTTATTATTTAATGTTGGGTGCGTTTCTGCTAGAGTTTGAGAAAGATTTTTAAACTTGCACTACTAATTAAATGAGAGTTTCAGTACTACCAAATCATTCTAGGCTTACTTAAGTTCATATTTTGTATGCAGAATTGTTTTTTAATCAATAGAGTCCTGATATTTTTCTTGGCTAAAGCCCAATCTCCGATCTAAGACTATAGTCATATGATTTGTCTTGGGATAGTTTGCAAATATCTTATACAGGGCTCTATGATCCCAGACATACTTAGGCTGGAATTCAATTATGAATTTCTTCTAGTCATTTGTTAGTTGATCATTAATCTTTCTGGGCTGTTTAATTTTAGTAGGCTCTGGTGGGAGGATTTATCCAGCACCAGGTCGATTGTTCACCACCTACCCCCCTCCATTACCAGGTCTATGTTGATTTGCCGATATACAACATCCCATTTTATTGATATAATTAAAATTATCTGTTTTTTATAAATTCATCAATAAAATACTACATGAACTATCACTCGGGGTTTTGGGGTTTTGGGGTTTTGGGGTTTTGGGG